AGATTTCAAACTTTTATAAATATCCCTGTAAGAACTTAATGTTTTTTTTTTTTTTAAATAAGGTGTTACTGAAACTGTGACTATCTTAGGGATACAGTTAATATCTCTGTCATTGATTTGCATCAGATGAAAAAATTTATTTTTGAGGTAATATAGTATATCTTTCTACTGTGCCGGTCAACCTGTTAATAAAATTACTTATTACCTATCGGTTCTACGCTATCGTAAAGTCCCGCGAGATGATAATTTTATTCCACCGGATGTTTCTATACCTACGTTGAATAAAGTGGCGTATTTTATGTCGATTCATCAAACGATACCGTGCTCCGAAGTTCAGTCATTCGTTAATACAAACACGATCAATTTTATGGCGTTTATATTGGGCTCATTACACGACCGGTCTCATTATTCTCCATTACAGCGAAGAAATTCATTCGAATTAAATAAATTTTATGAAGTTTCCATCGTTAAAAATTTTCATTAATTTTCAAGCTGAAGCGCTTCCGATCGCGAAGGATTAATAACACACCCGGCCGATTCTACGACATCGTAAACTTACACGGGATGGTAATTTCACTCGACCGGATATTCTTATACTTTGCATAAAATGGTGTACGCATCGAGAAATTATGATATCATACGCTTCGGAGTTCACTCGTTCATTAAGAAGCAAAAAATCCCGTCCTTGATCTTACTTTTCCGAAAAAAATGAGACGATTAAATGCGAATTCGCTGGTGGATAGAGGTTGAAGAGGTGGTGGCACCGGTGCGACGCGACGCGCGACGCGACGGCGCGTGCTCGCTCGTGCAATTTCGAGAGATAGCCGAACGCTTTCCATACGTTTCGTAACATCGCGTTTTGATAATATTATACGTCGATTTTTCACGCCTGCCACCACGACGGATCGATCTCCGCGTCATACTTATAAATAAATCGCGCGCGTTATCGTTGCATATTCATACACATCGACGTGCCCCGGGTCCCCGTGGGCGAACCGGATCGAGATATGTCGAATCGAAGCCGCGGCTGAAAGTATCGCATTGAAATCACCGCGTATATACACGCCGCCTCGTCACCGTAAAAATTCGACGTGGCCGTGCGTGCATTCGTGTACCGTGCTGCGTCACGTGAAAAAAAAAGGAAATAAGAAAAACGCAAAAGAAAAAAAAAGAGAGGGGACGCACACCTAACGATGCTTATGTGCCCGACCCACGCACGTAACACGGTGTTTTATAATGCCCCGACGACCAGCCACGTGCCAATCCACCGACAATCGCCTACCATTTTCTCGCTTACACCATTTATTAATATTACATTGATTTCGTAAGGAAAAAAATGGCAAATTTACAAAAGTTTGCGAAAGTTCAAAGGACTTCCGTTAATTCGGTATCGTCGCTGAGAAATCGGTGCTCAAATATTGTCCTTAGGATGAAGGATATTTAACTGAACTCCGTTAATAGGCAAACAATCCCACGGAACGGTGACATTTTCGCATTCCGTTGGTCGGTCATCGCTGGCTGATCGACACGGGAACAAGCGGCAGGAATTCGTGCATCGAAGCGAGCCGGCGAATTGAAATTCAGTAGCCAGTGCGACGGAAAACATTGACGAGAGGAAGGAAGTGACGATCGTTGGTATTCAAGGCTGTCGAAGCGGCTGTCGAAGCGGCTGTCGAAGAGGTAAGATGGTGGCATGTCGGGGCGGGAAAGGGGACATCGAAGAGAGGGATCTCTGAGCCAAAGAACTCCGATGACCGAGTGTTCACCAGTGCTAACTGACGCTTAGAATCGTTTCTTAGCCGACGCCCACGCGCGGCGAATTAAACGGGACACCGTCTCCTCTTCCTTCCGCGACCGTTCGTGAGCGGAGACGCCTAATTCCTGACACTCTGCCGACTAATCTTACTGCTCTTACCCTTTAGAACAGTTTCAGAAACACAGTAGGACCTCGATTATCCGCTGTCTGACACGATTCCGATAACTTAGGCGCCGAATTTGACGATGATTTTTAATAGTATTTTTTATGCTGAACAAAAAATTATAAGGTCTTATAGGGCTAATTGCTTCAGTTTTCAAGATATACAATACATGAAAAAGTAAATATTAACAAATCCAACTCTAATGATCTTGACCTTGATATGTACTGTCAGGCAAGATGCCGGTAATTTTAACGCCATAATATAAAAATATTTCCGAAGACATTTATAGCGATATACATAACGTTGGGGTGGGGTACACCTCCTAACCTGAATAGTGATCAACTTTAACGATTAATATTTCGCTTCGCGGAAGAGAGCGGCGATTTTTCCAAATAGATAAGTTGTTTGTCTTGCAAAAACGCGTCAAATAAGTCTAGTCTCGTCGAAATCAGAAACCATCGTCAAATCAAGGCGCACAAGTTGTCGGAATCTAACCCGCTGTCTCCCTATTACACCGGTTAATAGAGGTTCCAAGGATAAGAAAACGAATCTGCAGGTGTCAAGTTTTGCATACCAGACAAATAACCGTCAACTATCTAAGTCGGTGGGTGAACAGAATCGTAACTCGCGCATAGCTTTCGCGAGAGTAGATGGAGCGCGAAGTAATTTCTCGGTTCAGCCGTCCGTCTATCGTCATAGAAGTCTCTCACGGATCGTTTCGTCATCGTGAGGATAGACGAGAAGGTAAAAAGGCCGGACATAGGACAATTGCACGGCCCACGCGTCATTGTGGTCGCGGCAAATCGGTCGGCCACCTGGCCCGATCGAGCTCGTCACGCCGCGAGTCGCGGGCTGACCTTCTCCTTCCTGCTTTTCCTCTCGTTCTCTTCCTTCCACCGTGGCCAAGATCGCTGTTGTTATTAGACGTTATCGTAACTTCGAACACCTGATCGGCTACCTGGAAATATCGTCGTTCCCAGCCTGTGCCGTAAACAGACTCCTATCCTTCTAATGACGAGGAGTCATTCCTGGCAAGGATCTCTTTTATTTCTGTACATCGACGCGACAGCCTTCATATTCGTGTAGTTTCTATTATTTCTCGAATTACAAATATTTCTTTCTTTAATTCTAATTTTATATTTCGAATATAACTATGCAATTATCAACATTGTTTATTCTTCTTTCTTAAAGTTTCTTTCGCAGAATCTTGAATAGATTCAGAGTACTCGGAAATCCTACGCTCGCATTCTCGAGTCTCTTTATTTTAACTTATCATTACGAAGTCCAACGTTCAAGGCCAGCAGCTGGTGAATCCAGCTTCTCTTAGAAACATCATAATTGGCCGTTTATGCTCGTTTCCTTTAAGGGTCCCGATTCCGCGTGTTCCAAGGACCTGTCAACGTATCGTCTAGCTTCTCGTCGATCCATAATCGCAAAAATGTTCTTTATCTGGACGCCAGTCACGCGGAAGTCCGCGTGTCTCGATCATAACCACTGTTTCCCAGGAATCCAGAGGGAAACAAAAGGCATCGATACCCCATCGTTGCACTCTGTTTCGATTCTTCGTACTCGTTCCGCACGCGTCGCGGTGGAAACAGCTGAAAAGTAGATAGGTTATATCTACTGATTCTCAGCCAATTTCAACAATGTTAAGTAACATGTACGTTATGGTCCCGCTGTTTTTGCAGTTGATCGTTTACAAACACGCTATCAAAGACGGCTCGTAAATATTACTAACGCTCTTTCGTTATCGTTGAACAATTTCACAGGCCAGCGACGGGTAATATGTTTACCACTATTAATGTTGCTCGTTGACATCGTTTGCTGGCAAGAATGTTGAAAGATATTATTTGGAATCAGTATCATCCAACTTGTCTTACAATCGTAACAAATCTACACTGTATATATAAATCTATAGTATATATTTAATAGAGTTGCATCATTAATTGTATGGTAGAATTACAATAATCGATATATTTAAGCCACTTCGTTGTCCCTACCCTGTTCAATGCCACGGTTTCCCACATTAGCGGCGTAATGATGGCCGGCCCCGAGGCTCGTCCCCGAATCGCAACGTTGTTATTACCATTTCATTACCTCGCGGCGAAAAGGCGGCGAACGACGCGTAAATTACGCCGCGTGACATAAAGTACGCCCAATTTGCCCGGCGTGCAACACGCGTACACGCAAACAACGCTCGGCCGTTCGCCACGAATTTTCTGTACGCGAATATAGTATGAAAAGTAATTACCATCCCCGGTAATTGCTATGAAATTCGTTGCATTCAATCCGCGACAGATGATTTTCTTGGAGTATCGTTTTCCTCGTTCGTTCGCCATCGCTTTCTCGAATCGTACGATTGGATCGAGCCCCGAGCCAATGAAAGCGAACGGGGATTCGTGCAGACTTCCCTGTTAACCTCGAGAATGCAGTAGATCGTTTCACAAGGGAAGGGCTTTAATTGAGCCGGGATACAAATTGCTAATTACCTAATTAGACCCAGTGACCCAATTCGCTCGACCATCAGCCGTTGCCCACAGCCTGACACGCCTTTCATCCGCGCAAATCGAGCAATTTTCTTCGCTAATATTCTACGGTCTTAAATAATACGGTATTAAAAATCTGCTTCCATTGTTCTTTCAGATTATTCCATTGTTTCTCTCGTTTAGGATAAGAAATCGATATGGAACATCGATTCGCATGATATTCGGAGCGGTCGGTTGCACCTGCAGCGATCGCGTAAACATTCTCCTCTCGATATTGAATCGCATTCGTTAAGGTCGATTTACCCGTAATACCAGCCTTTAATCTGAGCCTTAACCCGTTCGTGAATTACCATTAATCGCGGTCGTTTAATTTCACGGTGGGCAACAGCGGGTTGCACAAGCGGACCGAGAGCATCCTCCCTGTATCTCTGTACGGCCACCGCGCTCGAAAGTCGCGTTAATTATGCGGACGATTATGATCGCGCTCGTACGTGCCCGAAACGTCGCCGGGAAATTATCGTTTCGCGCCCGTTACCGGCTCTTCTTTCTTTCTTTTTTCATTAAAATCGCTCGAAGATGGCCGGTTTTCACAACGAAACCAGAGAAACGCTTCACCGGGGGTCCAAGGAGATGCACAACTTCCGACTTGGCTGATGTAGCTCGTATTTAATCGCACGATCGCGTGTTGCAACGTCGAAAATGTAGGCAATTGGTTATTTGGATAATTTTCGGACTGTTATAAAGCGACAATGATCCTCGATTTGACGCGATTTCTCGACGCGCACACAGTTCGGACGGCTTTTCGAATCATTGCCACAACAAAACCCCGTCGTTCCACCTTTCACTCTCGTCGGCGCAATTACAATTCCGTAGCCGCTAATAGCCGCGTGACACCGCGGCTCGAGATCAGCGTTGTTCGTACGAAAGTGGCGAGAAAAATGAACGTTGAAAATTTCCCGGTTGCCGATTCACTGCCTCGGACGTAGCTCGACCGCTCGGGAGACCTTCGCACGTGGGCCGCTAGCTTGCCTGCCTGCAGCGGATTGCGTGGGCTAAAACAATTCTCGGTTAATTAAGATAATCGCTTGTTTATGACGCCATGCGTTCCTCGCAGACTTTATCTGTCGCCAGTCGGTGAAATTCGTTGGCGACGAGAAAGCGCTTGTTCACCTTTATTCTTCTTCTTTTCTTTCTTTTTTTCAACAGGGACTTCTTTGACATTATTTGAGGTACATTTATACCGTTTCTATAAAAAGTGTAATGATATTTTTCACTGTTGAGGATATGTGGAAAGCAGGTTACTAAGATAATCTATAATGAAAAATAACTTTATTTGAAAAATGGAAAACCAGGACCTATTGTCCTTCCTAAACCGATTCTTGTATCGAACCGAGTAAAAGATTAAAAGATCGCTAATACTTATACCTATGAAAATACAAAAATCTACCCTTTCAGGTATGCTTACTCCTCGACACGGTCTGAGCGCAAAACGTCATCGACAATAAAACGCCTGATATTTTTGAATGGAGAACTTTCTATAACTGTTTTCTTTCAACATTCACAATTATACCTAGTTTCTGTATGTGAGCAAGCAAAATTCAGTTTGTTCTTGTCGTTCGAATTCTCCATCGAACAAAGTATAAGGAAAACTTTGTCGCGTAGGAGTATATGTCAAAAAACGGAAAGTTGTCGCGATGGGAATTCGGGTTTGGACGTAACGTGGACGAGGATCGACGTAAGTACCGTTTGTTCGTTCGTTCGGATCCGTTTCGCGGCTTGTTTTCGCCGGTGAAGAAACGAGAACGAGCGGAGGAGGATAGTTGTTTACCCAGAGGAAACGTTTACGGGTTCGTCACCGTGCGAGCCGTGTGTCCACGCGTGTTAGCCTGCTATATAATGATGGGGCTCCGTGACGGCCTTGAAAAGGTGAACCACGTAGGTGTACGAGACGCGGAAGATGGAAAAGCCGCTCTCCAATGCCGCGTGGGCGAAATGTATCAAGGCTGACTTAGGTGAAGCCATTCTGTCGACACTTGTCGCCGATCCTGACGTTTAAATAGGTGAACCGCCGCTGACAAACGACCGACGCGAATGAACTCCTTCAAAAGCGACATCGAGACACGTATCCTTCCAGCTTGTGTCGCCTTCCTACCTTCCACGCGCGCTTTTATTTGTCCTCTGGTCATTGTTACCGGTTCGATCGTGTAATAAGAGATTTCGAAGAAGGATAAGGGTGACTTTAATAATCATTCGATATTTATAAAAAAAAAATTTATGCAAAAATCAACAGTATAATAAACGTTTTATATCCCTACGGAGAAGTTGTAACGCGAGGCTGAGGATGCATCGGAGAAGAACGATGCAGGAAGCAATTTGAGCGAGAAGGTATTTATTCCCGAGGTGGTGAATCCCATTCCACCCGGAAAAGGCAGCCGTAATCGCCGATATAAGCGATAACACGGCGCGTTGTATCTCATCGTTGGACGCGACGTAACCGACAAATTGTCCGAATGAATAATGCGGCTAGTCCCTTCTTCTTTGAACGGTGTTCGCCTTCCTTTCCTAACAGATTGCCATCTTCCTATCCCCGTGCTTGATCGCCATCGTATACGTAATTATAACTTCATGCTCGCATGCGTGCATCGTTGACCCATTTAATTTCCCTTAAGCGTCAGAAAAGGGTTCGAACGTTTATTCATTTGCTTTTTCGAACGATTTTCAAGGGAACGTCGTTAACACCCTTTTCGTCGAGGCGAAAACATTCTCAAACCGCTTAATCGTCCATGTGCCTGGATTAATTCGAAATTTCTCCGATTCGATGGCGAACGAAACATCAGGCTTGTACCTTCATTCGAAAGTGTTCCACCTCGTAATTGAGATTAATGAAAATCGTGTATAATTATAAGGGAAGTGGTCGCACCCCGTAAACAATTTTATTCGGAGCGATCACGGCGCGTTGGCTCGGTAAGTGAGGTCCTTTAAGAGGACACAAGTGGCAAGTTGTGGTCATCAGCTCGTAAACCGTGAACGGGGCCGACTGTTACCCTACTAATGAACATCATTGAACAGAATGTCCCTTAACTGACGGTATACGCCGTAATTCTCGTTCCCCCGCGTGCCGTGTCTTTAAAGACTAACAATTTACGTCAGCGAGAATCGATTTTTCGGCCCTCAAGAATGATGGCTCGTGCCCGATACTCACGGCAGACCAGAATTGCAAAAGAGCATTCTTTCGTATCCTTCACCTGCCCCCCTTGCCCCTTGTCTCTTTCACACGAAACGGAAGATGCGAGGGAGAGAGAGAGAGAAGGGGACAGTGGACGGTAAGACGGAGGGAGAGGAGGGCCGAACGTAATGACTGGACGGCGCAAAAATTCGCAATTAACTCGGGCCAGCCACGGTGCCGATGTCGCGTCGGCGTAATTGGTTTTGCAGAAAACTTTTACGTGTTTTCACGGCATTTGCATAATGTGCGAGGTGAACACGGCCGATCGATCGGTTAATTTAAATACCGTACCGCGCCGCCGCGGTTGCGCGTCGAACGTCTCTGCGCATGCGCCACGGCGAGCGAGCAGGCGCAGTAGATCACGACGCCAGACCAGAGGCGGCGCAACCGACTTCTCGTAATGTTTCCTTGTAATTGCCGTTACTTATTGCTGCTCGCCGACCTCGTGGAACAACGTTCGCGCGTAGATCATCCTAATTCGGCCGTGTTGATCGCCGATCGTGAATCATTCGACCGACTTTTCGCCGGTTTCTCTTTTATCCGTGCACCTGTCGAAACAAGCGAGCGCCTGGTGAGGTTGGAAAATGCGAACGATCCGTCACGCATCGGCATTAAGTCTCATACAAGGAAAGGACCTCAACTTTCCGACTTGGGTTGTCAACGAGTTTTTGTAAGATGATGGTATACAGATACGAAACTAGATATTTACTTTGACATTTTTGCTTTTTATTAACTTTTCCACTTGTACAAATTTTTCAAATTTTTTTTACAACTCCGCGTCGTTCGATACTAAAATCGGCAGAAATGGTGGAAAAAATAAAGAGAGGAGCCACGGGCAAAATGGTAGTTCGTGGCCCAGAACGGTGAATATCGTGTTTCACGTCCGAAGTTCAGCACGGAGAGCAGTACACGGTGAGTTTCGTGAGGGGCCTCGGGGGTACGACGGTACCGTGTCGGCATGTTTCGCAGTTTGGGACCAGGACCCAAAGGTCCGACTCGACAGGCACCGGCACAAAAACAGCGGGGGTCAGAGGGGTCAGCAGCGGGTCCCTGTGTTCCTGGGGCCTTTCTTGTCATGCGATATGTTGCTCGTACGTTATGATAGTGGCGTCAGTATACCAGCTTTCTGTTCTGTCAGTGACAATGCTCGCGATGCCTTTGTGCTCACTCCGCGAAACCTTCCTTTCTCTCCTCCTCCTTTTTTCTTCTCCCTTCTCTCGCTCGAATGGACATCGAATGTTGGAAAAAAGGAACAACCGGGCAAGAATAGTTTGTACTCGATAGAATCGACTAATACGATTCGTTGTACCTGTAATCCATACCTTTGTAATTTCGACCGGTCACACAGGTGATGACGATGAACATTCCTTTAGGCTTCGAGCGAATCTTACTTTGATTTCGCCGTGTCATATGTTGGGTGTTTAGAGAGGATGTAAAATAACGCCTTGTGTGATTGGGTAAAAATTTCGCGCGGAATAATCAAAGAAATATCGTGAACACACCCCTTTTTTCTTTTTGTACGAAAATCATTCTAAAACCACGAGTTGATACATATTCTGGTCGAAGAAAAAAAGCCATTTCGAAAGCTCTTCGTAGTCGTCATAAATAACCACGTTAGAGACGACGTATTCTCGTACAAGGGTCACTTGATGTTCCACCAAATCGCTCGAGTTGTTGCTCAGCTAACGGACATTTTTATGGATAACCAAAGGTAACGAGCACGCGCGAGAGAAAAGGTGATACGTGGATGTGGTAACCGAGGGAACATCGGGCGGGGAGCGCGCACCGGTACAAATTTATCTTTGTTCCAAACTTTCACGCACTGACAGCGCTCTGGCTGTTGGCATCCACGGACTTGGCTGTCCCTCGACGTGACACACCGATCTTCTTTACTTCTCTCCCACCGCGCTATTTTATTTCATTTCCTAGTCTCAACCCCCTAGTCACAAAGTACGGTGCGAATTCCAGATGACTAACGTTCCATTTTTCTCAACCGTGACTTCTTTTCCAACGAGGGAATGTGAAAAATTACGAGGCTACCTTAACAATCGCTCTAAGAATCACCCGGGGTCTTGAACGAATTGACCTTCGATTTATAATTCCCTGTATCCCCCATGGTGTCTCTTTCAATTTTTCTTCTTTACGCTTGGCCCGTGGCAAACGAATCGTCTCTGTAAGTTCGAGTTGCTCTCTAGGCTAAGGATATCCGAGAAGAATCATTGAAAAATGAGGGGAATTAAGAAGACGGGGACGAAGGTAGAGAGTGTTATGGCAGAAGCGTGCCCGTACACCTTTGGATAGCCATATAAAGACTATATACGATATTAACGACACTCTGTAGCAGCAAATAGAGGACGATTCGACGACGTGGCGGAACAATGGACGAACAGACAAAAAGATTCCGGCCAACATTGTCGTAGCTACGACTTTATGAGGCGAGCTGTGTATGTAGGTGCACAGCCACGCCAGTTTGCCCTCCCGATTATGTATCGGTTTCTCGTATAATGCGATTTGACGCAGGTGGTCCTTTCCTCGTAACTCGTGGCCATTTTGAGCACAAACGCGTGCGCGTTATGTATTGACACCGGTCGGACTCAACAGCGTAGGCGATAAAGGATTCACCCTGGTACCCTTTCTCTTTCGTTATATCCCCTTCTTTCTCTTTCTTATCTCATTTCCAGGGTGCCTTACACAATACACCTTTTCGAAATTGTTTAATTATTTTTGTCTCATAATCATCACGTGGCTTCCACTTGGTTGCTGCATTTCAAAAGAGTCATTGACCTTTGTTTCTGAAATTTCTAACATTTGTTAAATTAGTGATAAAAGGAAGCCATTAGAATCAGAAAAGCTCGACTCTGTGTCTTTCCCGAGTAAAAAACAAACGATATAGCGTCAGGATACTTTAGCAGTCGAGTAGCAAAAGGACTGCGTGGAGAGGAAGAGGAAAAGTAATAGCGGCGGAGGAAGGGAGGTAGAGTAGCAAGATCAAGGAAGAGCGGGAAAGGAGGAGGAAGAGAAGGAGTAGCAAAAAGCAAAGTAGCGGAGGTGGGGTTAGAGGGGAAAGAGGGAGAGAAAGGGCAGAGAGCGGACAAGGGATAATAATAAAACGAGATATCTCGTACGTGGGCGGTCGTATTGTTAGCGCAACAAGGCATGCGCGGCGCTTCTGTGTCCCCGCGGTGTGCGCGCTCGTGCGCTGCGCCCTTAATAAAGGGTACGCGTGTGCGTGATACGCGAGCGAGCGCGCGCGCTTAATAAGAGGAGGCCACCGAGTGCCAGTGTGAGTGGAGAGCAGCACGGCCTTATGTAAATCGGACGGGACCATCTGCGAGGGAACCTCTCTCTGTAACCGACCACGAGAAGCGGGAACAGCGAAGTGCAGCGGCGAGAAAGAGAAAGAGAAGAAGAAGAAGAAGCAGCACGAGCTGCTGCCGGCATCAAAAGCAGTGCCGCCACCGCCACCGCCACCGCCGCGATAAACACGCATTTATTCCAGTGTGCGCTGTGTGTGCCCGACCGTAGGCGTAAGGGCATGCGCTACACCGGTTGCCCCGGGCAATAGCACATGCGCCTGCGCTCTAGGTGACCGCGCTCTTAACCTCTCACCTCAAGACAGGATTTTTTCAGTACTTTGGTTCGGCAGTAAAATCGAACCAATGAGTTATTTCAATTTTCTGTTAGTACTATTTTCTAAACTTAATTTATTTAAAGTTCAGCTACATATTCAGGAGTAAAATTACGCCGGTTCGATCGAAAGATCGGTACTTTAATGCGAATCGTATCACGATCGGTGGAGCGGTGCCTATCTCAAGCCCCGGACACGTTTAACATGCGCGGACCGCAGGGACGTTAAGAAACACAAGACACTAGGACCGCGTAACACGAGCGCTATCGCGACTTTACATTGTGTTTGCACGGATCCTGACCGCTGCAGAAACGCATGCCGATGATTCTTCCACGGTCGGCAGATAAACAGATAGGCAGATGGGTGTACACGTAGGTGCGCTCAGATAAGAGACCTACCGAGAGCCAGGAGGAAAGTTAAAGTAGGTACTTGCTACGTTCTCGGACCACGGTGCACGACTTTGATCCCTATCGATCCAATAATCGACTCGGTAACTGTTGTTTTACGAGCTTAAACCTTCAATTTCGTCGTTGAACATTAACCGACTAACAGAGTCGGATGGACTAGCCGAAATTAATATTCCAAAATAAATGAAAATTCCGTTCATTTGTTCGACGCAGCAAAGAACAAGTTCTCTTTAAACGAGCCCCGTCACCTCGAACGAGACAACAGAGCGCGAAGAATCGTCTCGGAAACGGCGCGACGGCGAGTCGCAAGATGGCAAAACTCGCGGCGCGATGACGGGTTTCTTACACAAGAACGATATGCCGGGAGAGTAAGATAACGCGTTATGATATCGCGTTTAAGGTAGACCGACGGGTAATGGTGGAAAAATATCCGCGGCCGCGACAGCGCGCGCTGTATAATAGCAGACGTGTCGTTTAATGGGGATTTATCGTTCGGCCGGTTGATTCGCGCGCGTCCAATCTCTCTCTTTCACAGCCGCGATGCAAATCGAGGACAGACCGACCGGCTGTATACTCGACGTTCCGCGAAAGATGAATAGGTCAGTTTCCTTGAGCCGAAGTGTGACTAACGAAAAGCCCGAGCGCGGTAACTTCCTTTGATAGGAGGCGCGTGCGAGAACCCTTGACCCACATGCTTGTCGCAGATGTACCGAGAATTTCGCGGGCATCCGATGAGTGTTGCAATTGTATTGATAACCCTTTCGATGCTTAATTCTTTTAACAAATGGGTCATGGTGTTTTGCGCCCGCTCCTTTTTTTCTTTCTTCATTTTACGCCAATTTTCGATGCGTGACCAACGAGGGACGTAATAATTTCAATTTATACACGTTGCCTCATCCGGTCCACTAAACACACGAAACGATGGGAATCACGTAGCGAAGACAACTAGTCGTGTTTCCACGGATTCGAGCCGGTGGTTACGAGATTTCCGGCCGAGTCGGAAGTTGCGGTCCGCGGAGCAGAATCGAAAGAACCCACCACGCGTAATCGACACGGCCAGTTTATCGCGCGTTGTACGCAAAGATGGTGCTCGTATATGGAAGTTGACAACAAAGATACCATCTCCACGGCGAAGGAGTCGGTGAAAGTGTGCAGTTTCGTCGGATTTTTTCCAATATTATTTCGAGAGTGCGCGATAAATCTTCTTCACCCGGAGGTAATCGATCCCGGTACTGTAATTAAGTTCCGTTCTGTGCTTCTTCTCTTCTGCCGTCCTTCTTTTTTTATATTTTGTACGTCCGTCTTCTCGATGGGATATCCAGTCCCCTCGTCGAGAAGTGAACAGTTTCATTTTTCATGATAGACATAGCCGGTCGGACCATCGGGAACTATAAATACGACAAAAGCGGGGAAAACATATAAAACACGTAAGACGCATTAAGAACGGCATTAATTTAAATTGTTTATCGCACGGTATGTTGAACTCGACTCTGAACTACAGTCTGCTTCAGAGCTCGATCCTTCCGATTGTACAGGAATGTTCAAATTGAAGAGCAGAAATACTTTAGATTATACTTGAGATCAACTAAAAATTTGCTAATTCTCTCATCGACCCTCTCTATAAAAAGATATTAAAAATGAAAGAAAAACTTATGTTTCTTAAATGATTTATTTTATTTTGACAAAATCAAATTTTTAGTTTATCGTCAGCTAAACTTCACTTACTTTAATGTAATTACAAATGACATTCCAAACGAAAATCGTATATACTGTGTTGCTGTCAATAAATTTGCGATTGAATAGCATGGTATTCATCGACCCCTAATCTACCCCCTAGATCGGATCGACCCCTAATTATATTATATCGACCACTTTGATGATCCCTGCTCTAGATCATCGATCGAATGAAATATCATCATCGCGTGTAATACATGATTCTTCTTAAAAGAATATTCGTGTTCGTGTGATTTCAAACAGGGAGCAGTATCGATAAGAATAAATATCCCCGGTCTACCTGTAGAACGTTGTTTCTGAGAGTCGAAGGTATTCAGGTGTTCCCTTTTAGGCGCGTGTAACAGTCGAAATCGTTCGCAATTATTGGAGAAACCAGCGATAAAATTTGTTTATGGCACCGTGCCGCTTCCATAACGATCCTCCCGTACGACACTTCGCAGATAAAGCTTTATATCCGAAACTCGTCGCTTTACCCGTGCCCCATATTTCTCCATCCATCTTTCCGAGCAACCTTCTTGACCAACCTCGACCGGCAACCTTCTCTGTTCCCTCTCGACGAACATAAAAACACGCGACGGACAAATTTTATCCGTAATGGTACGCGTCCCATTCTTTTGACCCAAGGTGTAGGACTGGTGTTATCGAATTAGCGAATTGAAACTGTCGTTCGGGTGATAAATCATAAGTAGCTCGATTCTTGTTCGTTGAAATATTTTCTTTTCTTGTTAGCGAATGCTCGATGAAATTCCAACGACGGTTGACACCAGAAAAAGGGCGTCGAAAAGAAGGTAGTCGTCGGTGGTCGGATTCGGGAGTCAGATAGGCAGCTTCGAAAAGAGTTCGACAGCGTATCGAGGGTAGCCGTCGATTGGCAGCTGGCCAATTGCTGCAATGCCAACGGTGTGCATTTTCGGCAAGTTATCGCGATAGGGAAGAATTAATGCCGCAGCAGGAGAGTACGGTAAATAACCTCTTCGTTAACGTCCGCCAGACGACCGGAATGAACACGTTTCTTCTTCTTCTTCGTCCTCTTTTTTCGTCCTCTCGTTGCTTACTCTGTTCTCGCGTGTCCCGGCTCAAGTAAAGAATCCCAGGTATCTCGGGATCAATTAGCCCTTTGCACCGTAATTATTTTCCTAGTTTCTTCTCGCTGAAATATGATTTTATTTTCACTTCTTCTTATATCTTCTCTCCGATACGAAGGAACAGATTACAATTATTTAAAGTGTAGGTATCTAAATTTTTTATTGTTACGTTCAGTGAGGGAGAAGAGTTTGAAAACATACTTTTTTTTTCAATTAGACTTATAATTACTCAGCAGATTTAAAAAAAGGAATCGGATCGAGTGTTTCGCGCCGATTTACTATCGAAGCAACGATTCCTCGCTTATCGAAATAATTGTCGAATAATCAAGTGACCAAGGTACACGCGTGTGCGTGTACACGATCCTCGATGCAAGATAAAGGCTAATTAACGAGCAATTAACGCGAAGTGCCGTACGACCGGTGAATAATTTCTCTTCCTTCGACGCGAAACGATTTAATGCTGTCTCCTGCTCTCCTACGCTTTAAGAGATACGATTTTTTTCCTGACATTTACCGATTGTCAGGGATTTTTATTGCTTGACAAGTATTTGTATCAGTCAGGAGGAAAGTTTAATTGTGATTGATCATTCTTGTGATTCATTCGAACACTTGATTCGAAAGTGATCTTTTACTTCATTAACTATTCATCTTAATTATATTGTATATCTTAACCTTTATATTATGTAATTAAAAAATCAATTACGAAGCATAATACTGCACCTGCTATTTATACGAACATTACTGCATCTTTATGGCGCCAGTCTCTTCTATGATTGAAAAAAGTAGCAGGAAATTATATTCCAAACGTATCCCGGAGCGAGTATAATCCTAATAAGAACGTCTGTTTAATGAAACTTCATATTCCGAATACCACGGCTAACTCGCGCAGTAACTCGCGGAATGTCAAGCCTCTACTTCATTTAATCGTCATCGAGATATCAATCGCGAAGTATCCCGGTAATGAAATTCTCACCGCGGACCATGGAGAGATTCTTTACTGATTCATCAAGAAATGAACAGGTTTGTTTCATATCTCATCGAACTTACTTAAGATTTATTTTGCGATCTCGGATCGGAACGTGGAAGATAGAAGAACAGGAACTAGCTGAGAATTCGAGGTTCCTTTAAGTTTATTTAGGCCAAAAATTGTCGCAACTATATTACTCGCTTTGAACGCGAACGACGCGCTTTCACTCGTTACCCGCGTCAAGATATTGCTTCCCGTAATTCAACGTTGTTTGTGCCGTCGTTGAGCTTTTGCTTGGTCGACGTACCCGTAACTCCTCGTGGAACCTCGCTGAAGAAACATGGGAACGGGTGTGCGGAAATTGTCACGCGCGATTCTTGTCGCGGGGATTAATTTTGACCCAGCATCAAGCTGGGTGATATGTGTGACGTTTCGTATGGAATTCTTAGTATTCCCTACAGCCTTGCTACAACAGAGGTAGAATCGGATTCATGGAAGAGATTTAAACACTGTTAAAAGACATCCCTTCTGACTTATTCATTCTTATCATCCCTTTGATGTACAATTTCAATTGAATGAATTTTTGCATATCTTCTTCATCGATAAATCTAACTCTTCTTTTATGGTGAATCTAATCAGAAAAGCACTATTACCTTATTAGAAAACAAACCGTACGCGAGTTTGCACTTTGCTACGAATTATACTCGCTATTTCTTGTAATCTATCTCCACGAAATATTTAACCCTCGGACTCAATTTTAATATTATTTTCATTTTCGAAACACGCATCGAACTTTATACTTCCGACTGGCAAAAAGGAGGTGCCAAACCATTCCACGTCCGTGCGTTCGTTTTTCTCCGGTCGAGAATCCGGAGCGTCTCGCTCGCTTCATTAAATTCGAAAAAATCGGCCTTTCAACGCGGCCCAGTTCATCGCGGCTCGACCCTGCAGCGCGAGAAAAAAGCATAATCGAAATTTAAAGGGACCCCGATGAAGAGAACGTACTCGTGGCGAAAGCCACGTAGGTCGTCGGTGCCTTTGACGCCTACTAATGAGCGGCTTGTGATTAAGGGAACGCACGAGGAATCGATGGAAGAATATACTGGACGACACAAAGGACAGGCTCGTACATTGTCTCTCTGTTCTTCCCCTCGTGCCTTGTATTAACACTTTGATCGTCGTACCTTTGATCCTCGCAGTTTCAAGTGAATCTTGAAACACCGGGATTGCTATAATCTTTTTATCGTTCGACACGATCGATCGCGACAATACGTATCCACGATTCATGGTATCTCGAGGGGAGCTGTTCGCGAGCGGGTACGCGCGTGTGAGCGGAATGTTGGTAAGTACATAGTCGTGTTCGGCAGTCGAAGCTGGACGGGTAAACGCATTTCTCGCGATAGAGACGAGAAAGAAGAAAAGGAAGGAAAGAGGGAAATCGTCAAATTCATTTCTTAACCGAACACGAACGAGCGCCGGACCAGCGGCAGAAGTCTTCCAAGATGGATAATTACGAATATCCACGAGACGGAAACGGAATCGAGGAAGATCGGCGGCGAAAAGAGAGATCGAAGGGAACGGATGCTGATCCGATCGAGACGGAGCTGAAGGTAGAAGCACGGAAGCGAGATGGTGAATCGCTTTTGTAGCGGCGGGCAAACAAATCCGACGCGGAGGCAGCGAGCGTAGGAAAGAGCGTAACTTGGAGCGGGGAAAAGAAACATGGAAAAGAGGAAGAAAGAGAGCCGGAGACAAGGGGGCAGCCGGTAACAAACGACTCGCAAATCCTTCCTGTCAATTTAATCTCGCCTCGAATCCCGGAGAAATGTTAATAAGGGCCTCGCTACCATTCCTTCCCTTTCCCTTGCTCTTCCGTTTCTTCTCCCTCGTCCCCTCTTCCTTTCTCTTTCCCGTTTCCCGGACTATGCGTCGCGCATGCGCGCGCGCGAGCAAACCCGCCAACGACACTTTATTTTCGCGCAAAGATACCGCCGCCACATCGCGACGACCACGTGGAAATTGTGTGCAAAGCAAGCTGCTGCTGCTGCTGCTGCTGCTTCTCCTGTTGGCTGCACCCGTCGCATCGTTTTTCTTTCTCCATCTTCTTCACCGGCTATACCACTCCGTCTCTATCTCTTTCACCATCCTTCCGTTTTCCACTACGTCCCTACGCCGATCCCTTTCGGCCTTCCACCCTCGTAATTTATCGCGGTTATGCCCGCGCTGGAATCTGTAGCAAACGGATAAAGGAACACGGAGGAAAAATACTCTTCCCACTCGCGAGAGGCTGCTCGCAATGCTATCGTCCCGATTCGATCATTCTCTCGGTGGTACTTGCACGCGTGTTCCAAAGCTGTATGTAAGTACACAGCGTCGCGAGTGCAGGCTGAAAAGGACGCCGGACCGACGCAAGCCTGATACGATGAAGAGATTCCGTAGAGAGATGCAAAGAACGCACCGCTACCGACCGCACTCAGATTTTCGTGGGGATGAAATAGGAGTACGGTTTTGAAAGACGGAAGCGTTGTTATTAGAAGGAAATTTTTCATAATTTTTATTGAGTTAATTTATGAAAAGTACAGTTCGTCAAATATTCAGGGCCGATCTTGGGCCTAGGCAGACTAAGCGGCCGCCTAGGGCCCCCCAAGGTTCAGGGCCTCCATGAATGCAAATCTAAATTCGTTACACAAGCTTTAATGTTAATTTTATAAATTTTATTTGAGGTACTTATTTTCATGTCATATATGTGAAAGGGCTCTTTTTCGGAGCTCGTCTCGAACCCCCGAAATCTCAGAGCCGGCCCTGCAATTATTATATGACGAGTATGTCGTGTTCTATTGAAATATATATCTTCATTGCTCAGAGGAATAAGGAAATTCCAAATGCAAATGCACCGGGCACGCGTCAGCGGGAGTTCTTCTAAGCGGATTCCTTCTTCCTTTCCGATTCTTCTGTTTCTTCTAACGAGTACGGTCGAACACGTTATAATTCATTGGAAGCAACACGCTGGTTTCTATCCGGCTCGCATACCTGAGAATTACACATTGCCCGGATCTTCTGTCTCTCTTCGTAGACGCTTTGATGGACATGACGTTTTAATAATCTCATTTTAATTGGACCCGTATGATGTAATCCTAACGCCGCCGTCAAGCTTAACGACGTGTAAAGTGTACGGGCACGTCCAGCAGGTATTAATTTCTTATTTGCTCTTAGAAACGCGTAACAAATTCGGTGTCCTAATGATCCTCGCGTACTCGTCTACGGTAACGATAATTAACTACGCTTTTTTTTCCCCCACCCTATCTCTTTCTGTCCATAGATGAAATATTTTTCTTCGTTCGAGCGAACGCGGACGGAAAAGGAAGCCGATCCGGCTGTCGATAAATCTCAATCTCACACGGAAACTCTACTTGTTTGAAAATAGAAGCAACACCAAATACCGTATAAAGGAAAATGCTTCATGATACCAATTAGGACGCCACTGAAACCTAGTTTCTGGCTAATGTCTGCTCGCGAATAATGTTTATGAAGTTTTCTATTTATAGTCGTTAACATTTTTCGTAGTCTGATTGCGAAATGAGATCTGATTTCTATTGGCATGGATTAAGGAGTAAGGGTTGGTCCGCGGCATAAATCAACCCTGCACGAAATTATCCCGAAACGTCTAGAATCAGAGTGTGCTTTTATCGCGTTTTAAATGGATTTTTGGCACCATCCCCGATTCGAATGGCCCTCAAATGTATTTCCGCATACCCGCGGCAGTCTGCTTCAATGTCTGTCCCCGTTGACCCCTGAAATTTCCGTCGCGTCCAGATCTTTCCTTACTTTTCTTCTCGAAGAATCATTAGATCGAATCTACAACACCTAATAAATAAACCCGCTACCGACGCGCGCGATGACATAATTTGTACAAATTGCTCGGCTCATGATTCGCTTGATCGGTGCATGCTTTGCCAAACCACGTATGCCCGTGTTTTTCGTTGCGTCAGCAAAACTCGAGTGGTTTTGAACCCGTGACAAACTGCAAATTTCCCGTTTTCAAGACGCGTTGCTACTTTACGAGATCTCGGCGAAGCAGAAAATTGCGAAGCGGGACTGCTTTATCTCGATCTTCTAAGTAAACCCGTCAGATTTCTGACACTTTATGTCGTTGCTTTGCATCTGAGTGGAAGCAGACATCACAGGCGTATCAAAATTTCAATTTTTCAATTCTTAATTAATTTTGTCGTTGCGTTTTGCGAATGTCCAACGGACGCGGTGCATAAAATCGCGTCTGCAAGCCAAAGCCGTTACCTTACTTAACGCTTCGAACGTGCAAGCTCGAAGCTCGGCGTAAACGCGCCATCGAGAGGATCTATTGTTAGCCTAGCCGAAGCGTAAAGCCAAACATTCTTTCATACCGTATGTGGGTCGCCATCCACGCGATCTACGCACGATTCCATTCCTTCCTCGCCGCGCCGCGCTGTTTGCGTTCGCTCGAATCCGCTCGAGCGTCGGACGATTTCGCTAGGTAAATAGCGTTTCAACGGCGAAAGGTTATCGCTGGCGCCAACCACCGGTCCGTGAAATTTATTTCCCGACCAATGAAATTAGAGAGGACGCGATTCGTATAAAAGTGCGCACGGTGAAATAAATCTTGCGTGCGCGCCTTTCGACGCGACTAGTCGCCCGTCTGCCTTCGCCGTCTTGAATAATGATGAGAGTAGTTCACTGACATACTCATTAATATCGGTATTTATTCAGTTTTCAGTCCTCGTATCGCTTTGCTATCAAATAGGTATACGAATAAATTATGTCGATGTTTAGACACGTTTGTTGATGTCTCTCGTTAATAGTACGGATACGATAATTGGAAAATCAAATTATCACTGACCGCGAATGAAAAAATTATTTTATTGATCATTCGTTTCGCGATGGCTAATCAAGGTATTCGTAATTTTCTCCATGAATCTGTTTCGTGACATTTCTTGCTTTCTCTTGTTGCACTTCAAAAGAGATCTCAATCGAGGAATCGATACTTTTCGAGAACAGAGGTGTAAATTAGTTGCGTCGCGGGGCATTCATAAGAGTATCTCCAAGAATATCCCTCTTTAACCGAGCAATTTATGAACTGACGAGTTGGCCTGCGCATTGTCGCAAATAACGCGCGTATTCTGTTTCGATAATAAAGAACTTCATAATTCGCAACGTGGGCGTAATTGACCCGCGTTACACGGTGCTTTGTGTTGTAAGCAGTGTTCGAAACGCGCGGATAAAGCGGTCGAAAGTGTTATAATGTTGCGAGACGCGCACGCAATACGGCGCAACTGTAATTGCCCAATAAACGAAACAAACAGCAGAAAAGAAAAACAAAAGATTGAAAGAAATAAAACGGTTGAAGATGACAAGAGGGAGGAGGAAATAAAAAGGAAAAGAAAGGAGAGCCACCGGCAGGGTTTATTGGAGACACTTGGGTTTATACGGCAGCTTTTACTGCACTACCGTTGCACTCTCGTGCTCGTCCGACCCATTGAACGCCAAAATATATTGCCGATAAATACAGTTTTATCATCGAGGAATTTTAAGTGGTGGTGCCTCTGTATGCTCGCCGTTGTCCGATCAACCTCCACGCTACATATTCTTTTCCACTTCTTTCTCTCTCTTACTCGGTGCCCGTGATTTCGCGTTCTTTGCACAACACTATTCGATCCTCGGCTCGATTCCGCGAGCTGACGGACCGAAATTATTTTACGATCCGTTCGCGCCGCTCTTAATTCCCCAGGGCACGCTAAACGAGAGCGTTTAAGCGGAAAAACCGTAAATTAACGCGCGAGAACGAGGTAAATCTCTCGGGAGATTCGTTTCCAACCAGTTACCTACCGCTTCGAACACGATCGCGCATCGACGAATGTCGTGCGGGGTTAATAAAAAATCAGACCTGATTTTTTCCTTTTTTAATTAAAAAATGAGAAATTATGTCACGGAAAATGTATGCGCCCCAAAATACAAATAGGATGTTGTCTCTCCGGTGGCATTTCTCCTATACATGAATTTCTGAAATGTCAAACAGAAGCGAAGCAGGAATATCGAAGAGGCGAAGGACTTTCAATGGTCTTTCGACTGAACGAGCCTCTTCGAATTCCAGTGGCGTATCTGCGCGTCGAGGCGCAACACCCACAATCAACTAGTTCAGGTGGCTTCTGTTTACAGGCCACTTGAAGCGGTGGCTGCAACCGATACTTATCGTAATATGGAAAGCCGGCTCTGAAAAATCGGTCAAGTGTTCGTTGAGAAAATTTTAACCCCGTTTACGCGTGAGAAACGATCTTTTAACTCGAACCCTTGCGCTCTTCTAACGGAGCTGTTCCTCGGTGCTCCACGAATGAACGCGTGACTGTTGCGGTGAGAATGACCATACGCGGTATTACGATAACGATTTAGAAGTGGTAAAATTAATCGTCAGTCTAATAGTCAGCGATCGTGTATCGGATGACTTCATTAGCGATTAACAGCGTTCTGATCGGTTCAGCGACGATCGTTTTCGATGCGTTAACAACGTCCGTAAAGGTCGATTAAAGCGGGAGGAAGGCTCATCTCGGATCATTTAAATCGCTCATAAAAGGTGGCCAAAGTGGTGAGACACGGGTCCCGATGCGGAATTGGCGGAACCGTTAGCCGTGGCACGGCGAAAATTGCGACCAGTCACGGGGGCAAAACCTCGTGCGAAACATTCGTTAACATTCCCAACACTCGGTAATGATCGTCGTGTAAGAAGCTACGGTGCAACATTCGCCGACAGGCCATTGCAACGTTCTCAGCTCGTAAGCAGCGCGTTAGAAAATTAATAGAACGACCTCGACTGGTAATCGAGCAAAAAAGATAACCAACTGACTCCTCCTCCTTCTACTTCTTCTTTTTATTCTTCCTGCTGACAGGAACTCCTCGAGCTTCGTGTCGCTACCGGTTTATCATACATAAATTGGGGGGAGGTTATTATCGATCGACGTACGCCTGATTGCTAATTAACACGCGAAGAGGCGTTGTTCAATCGATCGACGGAGGAAGAAGGTGTTTGAGGAGCTTGTTCCCCATGTAGAATCAAAGTGTCACGTATAATGTTGTTTGTCGAGGCTTCCGTGTTTAACTTTTCCTAATGTTCCTATTAATTTTCACGTTGATTAACTTTGACGTCTAGTTGCTTGATCGAACGTCGTTTTTGATGCCAGGTATCGGCTGAGGATGGATGTATTAGCGGTGGAATAATTGAAATATTATAAATTCGTAGGGACACCCTCATGCCTCTATGAATTTATGCAAAATATGATGCAGCGCTTCTTTTCGAATGAATCAAAATAAAATGAAAGGGAAGCTTGCAGATTTAAATCGAACACGACTTCGGCATCAACGACAGAGTCTCTCGACTCGAGTCGTTGAGAATCTCGAAGTGTCATTGGATTTTCAACAGGTTGGACTTAATGTTCGAGTGGTGGGTCGGATTATCGAGCAGAAGGAGCGGCTTGTCGTTAGACGTTAGCCGATGTCGTTGCATCGATCAGTCCCACGGTTCGTAGCCGTGTAATAAGCGGATAAGGGGAGTGATGCGACAATCGGAACGATTTGTCAACGAGAAATTCTCTTCCTCTCGTTCGCCGCTGGCCAAGTCCTATTTCTTTAATCCACCGGGACGACCGAGCCACCTGTCAATAGGATTCCTCTTCGAGACGCGTCGGCTTACGATTCTGCGTGATTCGTTTCGATTCGAACGCGTGTATTTCCGCTCGAAGCCTTGAATGTTGCGGCCTCCTCGAACTTGTCAACCGCTCTCCTCACGGATCGCAAAGTAATCGTCTTTTGATTCATGAAGTCTGTCCTTTTACTCGAGTTTCGCATCATGTTAACTTCTTCATTTTACTCTCAATCTTATTTCCATTTTATTACCGCACAGGGGTTTTGCGAATTTTAGCGTTGCACTCAAAGTGTTATGGCCAGCAAACTTTTGATTAAAAAAGTTGCAAGCTTATTGCATCAAGATAGCAGCTAATTGCAGCGAACCTTGACAAATATTACAGAACGTAATTTACACTCTGAAGAGCGAAACTGTGTTAACACCGAACATAAGAAAGTTTGCAAGATCATAAGTCTGTCCTTGACGAGATCTTCGCACCTCAACGTGTAACCTCTGTATTTTTCATTCATAATAGCGTTAGTATGGAAACGAAAAAGATGTCATTTCCTCTTTTCAACCGGCGCCTATTAGACGCCGATTGCTTTCGAGTTAGCTTTCTAACGCGTTACGAGATAGCAGGGTTCAAAAGTCCGGATGACGCCCTTCTGGCGCGATGGGCCGTGGACGTAGGCGAAGCCGGACGTTGTTTCGGTAACCGGCGAAAACGTTGGCCCACGTAGGCGGTAGCGAGCAATTCCGAAATCGAGTTTTCGATTTACAAAACACACGTGGTGGGCGAGCCAGGACCGATCGACAACCAACACGCCACGGTTGTTCGCCAGCACAAGTATTTCGAGCCCCCACCCTAGCGCCAACTTATCATGGACGAATCACCTGGCGTGGGCGATCACTTCCGGTCAAATGGTCCTACGATCTGGTCACTTTTTTTTGAAGAAGATCAAAATTGGCCCAGAGTTTTTCGTCAGGCGTGGTATAAAAAGGTGATACCTTGTGAAGGTGGATGTAACGAGGCTTTGTTTTTATGGAAATCAGAGCTTTATGGTTTACAGAGTGTCAGGAATCGAACCGTTCTGCTATTTTCGATATACAAAATGTTACCTGTTTCATCCTTTCGCGAATCGACACGAGCGTTGATAATCTTCAAGTTCTTCGAAATGAATAAATATAGAAGACGTCTACTAACAACAGACAGGTCTGGACGTCTCGAGGATGCAAACGGAACAGATGATCGTTTAAGATTCCGTCGTCGTTTCGCGGAAGTCCGAACTTCCTCGAGGGGTTTTCGGGTTCCCTGTTCATCGGGTAATCCTATCACGCGCCGTGTTCTCTTCGCTTTCGTGTACTTTTTTACAGCTCGTGTTCAACGCCGGATAATCGTTTCTTCGCGACACTGCTCGTGGCCGGGTGCACGTGCAACGAGGCACGAATTTATGATTCCTCCTTTACGAGCCGCTTTTTAAAGTACCCGAGGAGAGCTTTTCCTTCCGGTTAAAAAAGTCGTGCACGCGATGCACTATTAATACGACCATTAGCATACGATCTCCTTCGTTCGGTCTGCTATAAATACCGATCGCGCAATCGAGAGTAGTCCCTCGTTTCGTCATCCTCCCTCGATGACCTTAAAGCCTCCTGGCTCTCGTCTCGACGTTGTCTCATCTGTTCCCTCGGGATAGAAACTAATTTCATTCGTCTGAAACGTAAGAAGTGGACGAGGAGGAAGAAGACGCGGAGAAGTCGATCAGGGTTCGGTCATTCGTTGGTCAGGCGAAAAATTCGCAGTAGTAAAGCACAAGCTTGGTACGCCACGGCTCGTTATCAATCGTGCGCGGTAGAGCATACGAGCTAACTCGGGGCACGCGCCTGGCGGGGTCGTAGGCCGCCCCACCCCTGTTCTTCGCGCTCCCTCCTCCAAAGTTGAAGAAAGAGGGCCCGATCGAGAGAGAAAACCGAGTCCCCCACTCCAACGGGCCGCGGAACGGGGCCTGCGGGCCCAGTCCTCCCACTCGAACCTGCGAACCTCCCTCTCCACCCGCTTCCCGCCCCTCCATAACTGATTCCCGCAGTCCTCTACGATTCCCCTCGACCCGCCTCTGCATCGTTTTGCACTCGCAGCACGGGATACCACGACAGTGACTGTCTCTCTCATCTTTTCCGTCCTTTTCTTTCGATTTCTCTGCGGAATCTTTTTAACCCCTTGTTGACGTGCCCACCTTTCCTTAGTACGAGTATTTCGGCAAACTTGTCGCAATCGAAACCCTGTCATAACGCCGCTATAAGCCTGTACAACGGGTTCATCGATCGTTTGTTGATGTTTACCGTCGCAGCTGGAGAATGATCCTGCATTCGGTTGGATCAGTATGGAGGGGTATCATTGTCCCGTTGCACGCTCATTCCTGGTACGGATACGCAAGTCGCGACAGGGGAAAAAAGTCGCATCACCTTGCACACTAATGTGTGAGGATGTTGCCGATAGGGGTACTTGCAGCAAGCGGACATCCAGGTTTACGCGACGCGCGTCTCGTCGGTTCACAGGTATACGCGTCGATCGCGAGGAAGGTTTTCGCGTTCCCTCACCAACGAGCGAGAGGCCTCTCCCTTCGTCGCGGCGTTGGGCACGGTGTCACGGGCCAGCGGTCGTAATGCGGCCCACACGCGCGCTCACCACACTGGCGCGCAAATCGCATAAACACGCGCGCCGACGCATACACGCACGGTGGGGTAGAGACGCAAAGCGACGAGAAGCGGTCCTACCTCCTGCAGGGGACCGTGTCACGTGGCCCCCAGGCCGTGTAGCAGCACGCAGCGCACGGGCTGTGCTCTCTCGTGAGCGGCGCAGACAACACCAGTCAGAGACGAGCCGAGAGACCGGGCGCAGATCGCACTCTCTCCCAGCAAGCGCGTGCTTTCTCCCTCCCTCTCTCCGCCTCTCTCTCCCCTTTCTATCCCTCTCTGTTCCGTCCGTCCGTTCGTCCGTCTTTCTCTTGCTCTCTTTTTTTTCCCCCGTTTCTATTTCGCTTTGTACAGCGACACCGTTCGATCGGAGATACCGAACGATCGCCACCCCCGCGTACTCGCTCGCGAGTGTTTCGACCGGGCCAAAGCGTACAGCCGCGAGTCTCGAGTGCTCCGCCACGTGCTCGGCGTCACAGCGACCCCAAGGTGCACCAGTGTGTATTTATAGTGCGAACACGATCACCCTAGTGGCCGCGTGTCACACCGCGCAACAAAGCTCCCTCTTGGGATTCGACACGAGTGAAGGAAAGTTTTCGTGGGTGACCGAATAAGCCAAGTTGCACCGCCCGACCGGATTCTCGCTTCTGGAGTGTTGCTTCTTTTGTGGATCCGGCTAAAAGCTGGTGGTGTTCTACCCGAAACCTTAACCAACGGGATAGTGGTGTCTTGTGCATCGATGGTGCGTGTCATCGTGTCGTTCTCGTCACGGCCTCGACGTTGAAACGGGGCCTCGCCTAACATGCTCTTGCTCCATCGCCGACGCTCCGGCTGCTCATCGCGGATGAAGCTGAATGGTGTGCATCTTGTTCTTACCTCGTCGGTAGCTTGATCTCTAGCCAGTATCATGCCTCTGCTGGAGCTTGACGTTGTTGTGCACCCCACGATCAGTGAAAAACCAAAATAGTTCGGTATCTATTCTCAAGTGACGTGCACCACGTTCAGTGATTTCAATGCTTCAGCTTTGGTCGATAAGTCCTATTACTTACAACGAGCATCCAATGTTCGAACAACGAGTAAACATTTTTACGACGTCGGCGTGCTTAAACGTTGTCGGCAGTTAAAACCGCGTATCAAAGCCGAAGGGTTCGCGTAAACTCGTTAAAAGGCACGAGGCCCGCCGGCCGAGCGTGACACTGTCGCGTTCCGTCGAAGCCGGACGAGTTTCGCGCCATCCGACCCTAACGACGGGGCTAATGATCCACGGATAATTAAAGAGTGCGCTCGGGAGGCAATCGTCGTTATTGCTTCCGTGTCCCCGGCGACGATCCGCCTCGCGTGCGCATTTTTCTCGCGCCCTGCATCGAGCTGGCTGCTTGATCTTTATAGCCATTAGTCCCTCTCGACTCGGTTCGTGCTTTTTTACGAGCGGATTTCACGCGTTCCGAATACCCCGTGACTCGATCGATTAATTCAAAATCATGCTCGGTATAAACTTTGTAATTTCTTCATTAAACGAAGCATGAAAAAAAAATGTCTGGGTCCGCGAAACCGAGTGTCCGTGGGCATCATCGTTCGAATAAATCGACGGGGCTAACGAGTGGTCGGACAGAAATTTATGACATGGCGGATCCAGGATGCAGCGGAAGGCAGTTCGATAAATAACGCGTGGAGACGCGACGATGACGAGGATCGAAGGAACACGTGGCCCGCGTCTGTGGACGGGTCGGCAACGGGCTTAATGAAGCGATTCCTATCGGTTCGCCAGAATCTGATAATTAAATCACCGGCCAGCTCTCGTCCCCCTTCGGCCCGATATTAATTGAATCGCGATCGGATTCGATCTGCCTCGTTTCGCAAACGTGCCTTCGCGACGGCTTATGACTCGGCCACGCACCACCGTTAACTTTCTGATCGTCAGCGCGATTTCCACTTGCAAACGCGGAGCTTTTTAATCCTTCGCCGGGGAATTTCGAGAGTAACGTATTCGCTTGGCGATTAATTGGACCGGACCTCGTTAGCCCTGCTTTCTCGATGAAATTCGACGTTGGACGTGTAACTCTTGTCCTTCCAAATTGAATCGAACAATTTCGTCTTTCGCTCGTTTCGATTCATTCTCAACAAGTGCAATGACGCCAGAATTATGAGTAATCGTTTGTTTATCAATATACAAGCTTTTATTCCAGTCAGTGGAACTGGGCTACTGCATGTTTTATAAGTTTCGCTTTCACCATCGGGTTTCGGTGATTTTCTCGACCAACCGTTGCCTCTTTTTTCGTGAATTTTCTTCCAGCATTGAAAATAAAATTTTGTAGGATCTTAGAAAGAAACACTTTCGATTGCAAAGGGTTATCGAAACCCAGTGTGTTGATCTTTATTATTGAGTCGTAAAGAGGACGATGAATTTTCAGTTTCATTGGGTCGAGTTTCGTGAAATCGTGAATCGTTGATTGTCAGTTGTCGAGCGATACGATCGAAAGGTACGTCGCATAGGAATCGTACAAGGAGCGGAGGATAGTGTCCGAGGTGTATCGGGGATAATCGTTGTGTTCCGTTTCGAGCACCGGTCGAGCGACGTTCAAGAGCCGCGAATAAATTCGTGCGCGAGAACCGTAGTGAAAGATCATGAGAAGATCGGCACGATCAGATAAGAATCGACGGTACTCGGGGGCTGATGGGTCCGTGACGACGAACAGAGTCTTTGGAAATGCGTGTCGAGGCCGAAGCTGAGCCGCCAGGAAGCCTCGTGGGAGGGGCCAAGCAATTCCTCTCCGGCCACCTCCGAGGGTCCGCTTTGCTGTCCGATTTCTCTTTCGCAACCCTCTTTTACTTTTTTACCCGTCAAACGCTCCCTTTTATCGTTGTCTTTACCACCTAGATAGCACTAGTTTTCTAATCTCTTTACCTCCGACGGAGCTCTTTTTATTTCTTTAACCCACCACGTAGAGAAAGATAATATTCAGTATCATGAACTATTTAGCTACAAGTAAATTAATTATACCAGTTAGCCACGATTTGCTATGTAAAAGTGGAAAGGGACGACGAACAGTTGTCGGGGACCACCTTAGAGCGAGGTACTGATGCACTTCGAGGGGCGCGACGCGTTAATTTCGTAACTCGATAAGTCATTAAGGTAACAAATAGCGCTATTAACCCAGCCACGGTTAATTAAGCGGGGCGTTGTAAACGGCAGAAAAGCGTCGTGGATTAATGGTCGCTGGATCGAATTGCCGGGTCCACCGGTTAATAACGATGTCCACGATAAGTAGGTTGAAAATCGAGACGCAAATGTTTCGCGATCGCGTTAACGAATATCTTGATCCTGTTTTTCGACCGGTGCGCGGCGGTTTTATAACAAGTGATTGCGGTAATCGAGAGTAACTTGCACGTGATCCAGGGTAGAAATAATCCGGTAAAATTCATTATAATTACACAATCGGTCCGATGCAAACATTACTATTCCAATATAATTTAGAAGAAATAAATTAATTTCAAAGATGATATACACAAAGCGTACGAATGATTTTGAAACGGTTGTTAAAAATCGCGTCGGACGTGGAAGCGATTAAACGAGCAATATCGAGAATCTTGCGACAAATTGCGAAACGATTAATAATATAGGATTCGCGTGAAAGGTAAACGGGAAAATATGCGGCTCGGTGGGCGACTGAAGCTCTGCGGATAATTAAAAATGTACATAATAATCGTCCGAGCGAAGGGGCAAGAAAATCGCGCGATTACGTGGGCGCTTATTTAGTGCGTACGGTCACTCGTATCTTCGTGCGAGCTGGGGCCTTTAATAATTTCGGTGTTAATTAAACGGACCCGGTGCGTGGGTGCGGGGCCGTGTCGCGTCCAGAATGTTCGAATGTGTTTTGTCAACTTTCACTGGAAGCTTCCAACCTTCTCGTGTACCGTGTTTTAATGCTCTCCCGATGATGGTTATTAAGTCGCGTTGACGAAAAGCAACATCCGGTGGCGAAACTTTTGATTTTTTTTCTTCTTTCTTTTTTTCGCCTTCATTGCAGATGTTACGTTCACGCGCAGTACCGTGTTGCGGGCATCGAAGTCTCCGCTCGAGCGGTGAGATGGCTTGCCCGAACACTTTGATTCTCGTTGCGCCTATTTTTAGGAGAACGATCTTACACGATTGTAAATAATTTTGGCAAATACTTGAAAGTGTATACAATAGACAAAGGTGAATATCGTAAAAATAATGAGCTAGATTTATTGAAAATAAACTCACTTAAGCATGGCAGTGAAATGCGTTAACGTGGCTATAAATCAGTTTTTATACGTTCCACTTCTATAAATCAGACTATATGTTGTTCTTAGAAAATTTAAAATAGCATAATGTAACTTCAGACCTTGTTATACTATCTTACGTGACAGCTTGAAACGACTCCTGTCTGATCTGAGGGCATATAAAATAAAAATTCATGGCCGACAGAAACGCGTGACTGTAGTTTCTCATCAACCCTTGAACGGCGGACCATGGAGAGAGCTCCAATTTTAATTTAATTTCGATATTTCATATTATTTTCTAAATTTGGCACAATTTCTTTAATTAAAATACAAGCTCTTCTTCTATTTTAAAACTTTCTTAATGTCTCTGAAATCTCAGCTCCGAATTTTCCGCACTTGGGCAAAGGATTTTTTTCACGTTGCTTTCACTGTCGTCGATTTTTCTGAATGGGCAATGGCCGACGGGCAAGCGTTTGCCTCTCACGTTTTCGAAAGTTCCACGAAGCGCCTCCATCCTGCTGTGTTTCCCGGCACCGTCGATAATTCACCGTAATTTCGCGTCGTGCGACGACGAATACCGCCCACGCGTCCAACCGAACAAAACATACAGAAATAAAAAAGAAGACGAACGAACAAGAGCAGCAAAGAAATGTCCTCGCACATTGCCACCCCAAGCTCTATTAATTTGAGACGATTAGGCCAACCGATACTTGCCGCTAATTGTCCGCGGGACCGTCGCCTTCGAGGGGGCAGAGATCGAGGATTAATTAAATTGAATTAAGCTTAATTAGCCGTGACCATTTGGTGACCGTGTTAGAGAAAAGTCCCGCGAAACGAACCGAACAAACATCTACCAAACCCGTTTTACTCATTTTTCTTCCCCATTTCTTTTTTCTTTCAAAAATTAAAACTACCCTCTTTGAAATGGCTCGTAAAATGTTTCTCTATCTTGTTACCATTAGTAACAATTGTGGTGAAACACCCTGTAGGTGGTGATTTGAGTCGCATAGGCGGGGTCTACTTAACCGTGCAACATTATTACTGCTCACCAGCAGTATGCAAAAAGCTTACGCGATCGTGATTTGTCATCTGCGTCGATTAGGCGTAGTTACGAAGCCGGTTTGCTTAGTCAGAAGATTCGCACTAGTCGCAGAAATCAGTGTTGCGAGGACTGTTAACGAGATAAAGGTGAAATCAATTGTCGAGCAAAGTGAAAACGCGTGAAATTCAAACTGAGCCCACCTCGTCGAGCAATTAAGAGGGAGCCCGGGTGAAAGTGTTATATCACAACGAGCCGATTGTTCAAATGTTGACGATCAATTAAGCACCGGTCCCCCCGATCGCAAAAATGTAACCGCGGAACGAAGTAGCTCGTAAAAGTGTCGAGAAAACAAGCTCCAGCTGAGGCTACGATCACGAAGAGGATCAGGAAACTGGCTACCATATCCTCGGTACTGCAAACTCTTGAAATTCACTGAAAATTTCATTTTCACGAAGTTCAAAGAGGCGCAGGATCAGGGATGAAATGGTATCGATCGTCGATGAGGAACGATCGATACTGAGGATTGGAAAAATCGTGAATTTTTAGGAACCGCCAATTGTTGGAGTGTCAAGCAACGCGACGAGGAGTGGAGGAACGAATTTTCGTCAACGACATCGTTATCGAGACAAAAGGATTGTATCTAGTCAGTGCATCTGGAGAACGGGATCAGCTGTGATAACACGTCTTCGTGTTTGTGCTCGCGAAGTGTCGAATTTCAGTTGGTGAGAGTGGAAAAAGAAAAGAATCGATGAAAACGAAAAATAACTTTGTGAAATTTTGAACAAATAGTAATATATATATATTCGTGTTTTAACACGTTGAGAAGGTTATTTATTGATCGTTTAATCATGGTTACCTTGGACACCGAACAGAAGCCCGAAAGGCAGCACTGTGTGCGCCGCATGTGCGCCATTTGTAGGCGCATCAAACGAGATAAAGGTAACATTATTTTTTACAAATATTATTAAGCATTTAATAACAAACCATAAAAATATTTAGAATATTTTATAATATTCATAATATAAAAATTGAATGCTTCACGAAGATTTAAAACTCGCCATTCTATTAATTGTAATTAATTACTTAAATCTGTGCCTACATAGGATCGATCCGCAAAGGATCAAACTTAGAAACAATAGATTTACAAATCGAAAGTAAAATCATTCAATAATCTAATTTAATTTAATTTAATTTAATTTAATTTAATCAGACAGCAGATAAATAAATAAGGCGTTCGCAAAATCCGAAAATTTTGAAGTTTTCGCACATCTCTATTAAATGTAGTAAATTACAGCATTTTTATTGAAACATTTAAAGTGTTGATCATAAGAAAAAAGAATTCCTAGGGTCTGTTCTTCATCGTTCAACTTTGCCTGTCAGTTAAACGCGATGAGAGTCGATGGGAATGAATAATCCATGGAGGCACGGGTCGAAGACAATGTACGCGTCCCACACAGGAATTTCAGGTGTTTCGACTAACGAGCGTTTTGCATGGAACAACGAGGACGCCCAACCACGAAGAATCAGGACGAACCAGTTCCGAATCGGTCCACGATACATTCGTAACTCCTTTAATGCGCGTAACCCGATAGCACTGGGCGCGAGCCCTTCTTTGTTTCTTCTCGTTCCTCATTCTCGATACGGCCAAGCGAAAATACGCTAATTACGGTCAGCAGCTTCTTTATGCGTTAAACGCGTTCCATTAGCATGCTTCGCTCGTTACTTTTACAAGTATTTCGTAATTACCGCGATCCTCTAACTTCCTGGGAGAGAGAAAAGAAACTGTAGAGAGAGAAAAGAGAAAAAAAAAGAATTGGACACTTGAATCGATTTAACGATCGATCCGGGGTGTGATTTCGCGACGTGTCGCAATCGATTGCCTCGTCGAAGGAATCGAAAGATGGCAGTTCGACCTTCGGCGTAAAATTAGACTCGTCCGTGTCGTAAATCACCGGACACCCACGTGAATATTCAAATGCACCGCTTTTTTTATGCGGTTTCGGTGCTATCGAAGCGTGATGCAATCCGCTTTGCTCTCCGTACCGAGGCTTTGGACGCGTGCTTCGCTAATTGAATTACCCCGAAGGTGGAGCAAGTAGAATAACGCTGCTCTAATGATTTATAGCTCGTTCCCTTTCAAATACCAGACGCGTGAAACGAACCACGCAACGAGCATCAAAATTATGAATGGCGGAGAATCTCATTCAAGTGGGCTTTCAGGAAATAATGTCGCCATACTCGAAACGGTAGTCCCGGTTCCGTCAACATCATTTCTGATAGCTTGTCCTGGCCCACGCCTGCCCTTCGTTCATTCATAAACATCTATCGAAATTATTCCAGAAGAACATGGAAACAAGTTACGTAATCCAAATCGAAATTTAAGTTATACAGGGGGTTCCATAATATATGCGATTGATCTGCTATTTAGAAAAACAAAGTTTACATAATAGTCAACAAGGTTAAGGCATAAACAGATCGCAAGGTTAAGATATGCAACGTTGTTTATAAAGAATCAGCGAATTAGAAGAAGCGAGGTCAGATGGGAGCCGCTTATTATGATACGCTCTGTATATCGCCTGATTGTGAGAGTCAGGAAGGAAGATCTATCTGGTTTCTTGCGCAATCCAAAGCCGGCGACAATTCGAAATTTGGAATAAATTAGAATGGCAATATACCTCGAGGAAAGGGTGCTTTCGCAATCGCATAATCTAGTGAATGGGTATGGGTTTCATTCATCGGGTTGGAAGCCGAGGAGCACGTTCACAGCTTCAACAGCAACCTTGCTCTATGCCTAGGCAGTTATGGCAGGCGTGACTAGGCTGGAGGTTCCGATTATGATAAAGCGCGTGGGCTCGCCCACGCTCGCCCTTCGCTCGTTCATTCATAAATTCAACTCTCACCGCGTGCCGCGAGCTCGAGCAACGAGCAAGTTGAAGAGAAAGCCCCGAGAGCGAAAGAGATGATCGTTCCTCTACCGTGCACACGACACACGCGCCGCGTCTTTCGTTGCCTCTCGCGTGTTACACCTTTCTGTCGCCTGGATCAAGCCTCTTGTCCACGGTATCGTCCGCTACCTTCGTTTCCTGCCCTGTCTCTCTTGGTTGCCGTATCTTCCAGCTTGCGAAGATACGATTTGAAAGAAGGATAGAAGATTTGTACACGTCTCGAAGTAAAATACTCGTCGAGTTTCAACTTTTTACCGCGTTTGAAAAATTGACAATTGCAAAAGGTGCTAACAGATAGATCCTTTCGCACGAGTGAAACGTGCTCATTGTCCGCCAAGCGCGGTACCCGATGGCCATGTATCGACAACGGTAGCCGACGTTGATGAGAAAAACAAACGGAGGATAATCATAAGTCTGAATGCGGCGATTCGTTTTACCACACCCAGCAATGTTTATCCTAGCGACTTCACTCCCGTTCCCTTCTATCCGAGCACATAAGGAAGACGATGAAGACCTCCATATTATTAGCGTTATTAAAGCTACTAGTAGCGTGTCAGCGCGTCATCGAGGCGTTGTTCAAACATTGACACAGCAAAAACGTCGAGCGCAAACGGACAGTCGCTGTGAAAAGAGGTAATTTACCAGCGCGAAGGGTGCAGCATCGCGAATCCTTGTCGATGAACGTCAATCAGTTCGATCGGTCCGTTAACAAGCTATCATTATCCGAACTGGTAATTAATAAACGTCATCGGGGCGTCGGATAACCGATGATGTGATCCTTTTGATCGAATTCCATCAATATTGAAGACAATATTGCAGCCCCCGTGTTATTCCTACACGAATTTTTTCGCATTTGCAATACCACACGCGTATAGTAGAGTGGTGTTGTATCGCCTCGAGCTTGCAAAGCCTCCGGCAGGTTTCCAAAGCGGTCTCGGAATCGACGGACGATTATGCGGACCGGTCTATTTCTAGAAACACAGTCGACGGACATACTAATTATTTTTTCCCGGCTCGTTACCACTCGGCTTTGGCAACGGAGGAATGGCACTGAGCTAAAGGGTGGGGGAGTATAATAGAAGGGATAGAGAACTTGGATTCCATAGAAAATGTGCTATACCGAAATTTCTGAAAAACAGAAGGAGATGCAGAATCATACCCGTGTCACCGTTTGCGACATGGTTCAAGAAAAAGAGAGGCTGCAACCGCGAAAGAAAAGAAACGAAAGAAAACAAGCAACAAGGAGAGAGAGAGAGAGAGAGAGAATTGTAAGAGAGAGAGGATAGAAAGAAACAATTGACATTCTACGCGCACGTTCGATCGAGTCGACAACGGGTACGATGGAAGAAGGAAGGGGTCCACGAAGAAGGGGTGCTGAAAGTAGTCGGTGGTGGCGATGGCGGCGACGGCGAAGGGGTCGAGGGGGGTAGATGCCACGGTGGCATGCACCTGTGCATTGCCGCCATATACGACTCGAAGTTATGGCGTTTTTCTCAACGCTCCCGTCGACGGTGTGTACCTACTCGTACGTATACACGATCGTATCTGAACCTGGCGAAACCAATTCCATTTGTGGACGGGTCGGCCGCAAAGCAACGTACGTATGTCTGCTGCAAGCTCCGCGACTTCGGGCTACGCCGTGCCGTGAGGTAAATTAATTGTCCGCGAAGGTGTGCTCGACGCGGTGGCGCGATGGACGAGGGGCGGTCTGTGAGGAGCCGCGGAATGGAGGAGGTGGACTGAAGAGAAACAGGTAGCCGGACGATCGACGGAACGAGGGAACGGGGGACGCGTACGCAGGATAAAAAAAGGGGAAACGCGGGTAACGAAGTAGAGTTGGTGGCCGCTTTTATGTTTATTAGACACGCCAGCTTGCCCACGCGGATCTGCCAACGCGGTTTTTCCGTGGCCGGCTGTCGTTTTCGTGCCAACGCGTTTTAACATCGCATTGTTGCGCCGTGGAAACGGGGCTGCTGTCTTTCTTCAACTATTGCCCCGTCAAAATGAATTCCTGGGAGTCGTCGTTGTTTCTTTCAAACCAGATGAAAACTGTTTCTTTCCTTTATTGAACGGAGAAGTCGAACGAGCACAGGCTTTGCATAGCGAGTTCTCTAAACGTATGGGAAACAGTAAAATTATATGGGACGATAAAGTCGAGCTGAACGACGGAGAAGATAGTGGCTGCTGTGTTTATTGCGACGCGATGTATCCATTCGCAAATCTTGATTCGTCGCAGAGATAATAGGAAAATAGGAGGAAAATTTCATGAAACGCTTGAATTATTTCTAAAATATAGATGGATGAAAAGTGGTCACGTGGCGGGAATGAATGCCACGTGTGCAAGTCGAAGATGGGTCGCGTCAGCGTGGACGCGGAGCGTGCCTACCTGGCGTGTGCCTCTTCTCGACGCGCCGCGACCTGCCCGCTTGTGGGTGTAACCAGTTTCCGTGGGCTTAGCTGTCAAACCCACGTGGGCCGCCCACGCTGGCCAGATATATTACCGTGCCGCGAGTGAAAGAAGACGCGGAGATCCGTGGAAGGCCGCGGGGAACCGCCGTGTTCGAGCGGAGAAGAGAACAACCGGCACGAGGAGAGAAATCGTTTCTCCGCGCGCGTGTCGCAAGGGAGAACGGTATGGAACCGATAAAGCGGCGTAATTAACGCGACAACGTCAAAGAAATTCGATTTCTTGTAAATATTTTAAGGAAATGCTTTTATCCAAAGTTTCCAATCGTGTTTTACTTAAAAATCACCGAAATTTTATCAAAGAAGAGTTGTAAAATTGCATAGCTCTATCGAATCCTCCAAAATTAATGTACCTTACTCTACTCGTAAAGTGCCTTCGCATAATTCACGAAGTACACTGTACGCAGCAGACATGCCAGAGGCCGAAGAAGAAAAAAGAAGAAAAGTGGACGGAGAGGAAAGAGATAGCGGGAAAGCGAAGAGACGTTGCTTGCGACACAGGAAACAGTTTCACCTGGAGGGATAGCG